CTTTTGCCGCTGAGCTAAATCCCCAGCCCCAGGGAATGTATTTTCTTAAAAATTTATGAAGGAATACTGTTATCAGAATTTCCATTAAAATTATACAGGTCTCTACTAAATGAGAAATTTTCACAGGATTTTCAAATAGGCCTAAATATACAGGGTTTCTTCCCCGTGTGATATCTTTCATATAGCTGATAAAAGCTGACCATTGAATATTTTCCCAACATTGTTTATATTCACAGAGTTCCTAGTGAGATTTGTGCATATGAGGACTCACTATCAAATCTTTTTCCACATAGTTTCCTTTTTAGAGTCACTCACCTGTGTGAATTTATGTCTTTGACAATATTTGTGTGTAGAGAACCCCTTCCCATATTGCACGTTTTCTCCCCACTGTGAGTTCTTTCAAGTCTCCAATAACATCCATGTGTAGTGAATCCTTTCCCTTATTGCCTGAATGAATAGTTTCTCCTCAGCATGAGCTCTTTCTTATATTTGACAATAAGAGTGTGTACTAAATCCAATCCCACATTGCTTACAGATATATGGTTTCTACCCAGTGTGAATTGTTTCATGCATTTTAAAGTTATTTTGATGGCTGAATGCTTTCGTACTTTGCTTACATGTGCAGGGTTTCTCTGAAGTATGAATTCTTTCATGAATTTTTATATCACATCTGGCTAGTCAATGCTTTTCAACATTTTTCATATCTATATATACAGTTTCTCATCCGTGTGACTTCTTTCATGTATTTTACAAAATCTCAGTGTAGTGAATGCTTTCCCACGTTGCTTACATGCACAGTCTCTCCCCCTTGTGAGTTCTTTCATGTTTTTTGCAATTACGCACTGTAGTGAATCTTTTACCACATTTCTCACATATATATGGTTTCTCACCAGTGTGACTTCTTTTATGTATTTTACAGTAACTCAGCATAGTGAATGCTTTCCCACATTGATTACATATATAGGGTTTCTCACCTGTGTGGCTTTGTTTATGTCTATGAAATACAGACTTATCAACAAATCCTTTACCACATTTCTCACATATATATGGTTTCTCACCAGTGTGAATTCTTCCATGTATTTTACAATACTTCAGTGTAGTGAATGCTTTTCCACATTTCTCACATACATACCGTTCCTTGGCAGTGTGATTTCTTTCATGCATTTTACAATAACTCAGTGAAGTGAATGCTTTCCCACATTGCTTACATGTATATGGCTTCTCCCCACTGTGCCTTCTTTCATGACTTTTATGATCACTCACTCTAGCAAACGCTTTCCCACATTGCTTACATGTATAGGGCTTCTCCCCAGTGTGACTTCTTTCATGTCTTTTACAATTACTCGCTGTAGTGAATGCTTTTCCACATTTCTCACATGTATATGGCTTCTCACCAGTGTGAATTATTTCATGTATTTTACAATAACTTCGTGTAATGAATGTTTTTCCACATCTTTCACATGTATATGGTTTCTCCCTAGTGTGACTTCTTTCATGTATTTTACAATATCTCCGTGTAGTAAATGCTTTCCCACATTGCTTACATGCATAGGCTTTCTCAGCTGTGTGGGTTTGTTCATGTCTGTAAAATGCAGGCTTATCAGCAAATACAGTTCCACATTGCTCACATACATAGGGTTTCTTTGTTGTTCTTGCATGCTTCTGAAAGGACTGGAAATCCCTGCAGGTTTTTCCATCTTCATTCCAGTTACACAACTTCTCATTAAATCTCACATATTCATGTGGCTTCAGTCCAGTGTGAGGTAAAATGGACAGGTTTAATGACAAATGGGGCTTTTCACAAGCAAGACTTTCAGCTGGCTTTAGAGCAACCTGTTGCATCTCCACCTTCTCATCTGAAGTATAAAGGAATACTTTTCCATGCTGATTCCAAGGTTTATTTTGATTGACTTTCACTACCTCTTTGTTTCTTTAAGGAATAAAAAGAACAAAAATATCAGTCATAATAAAAAAGCCTTGGGGCTGGGGATTTAGCTCAGCAGCACAGCACCTGCCTGGCAAGCGCAAGGTCGTGAGCTTGATTCCTGGTACCGGAAAAAAATAAAAAATAAAAAATAAAAAAGTCTTCACATCAGTATTTTCCCAGGCTGAGTTCTGGCTTGATGCTGACTAAAAAATTTTGAGAATGAAAACCTAAAGGCCCTGAAGGCTTCCTCAAAATGAAATAGCTTTCCATTTCCCAAAGGATCTCATTTATTTGGCAATTTTAAATTGATATATGTTTGCAATACATAAGGTCTATTTTCATTTCAGTCATTGATCCATATGTGTATCATGAACTGATCACTTTTGACACATTTTCCCACTTCTCTTTTCCCTTCTGTCCTTACCCTGGTCATCTTTTCTAACTCCAGCAAATCAGCCTTTCTGTTCTCTATCACTTCTCCTTAATTTTACACTCTAATTTATATTTTTGTATTTAATATAAAAGAAAAAATCATGCAAATTCACTTTCTGTGTCTGACTCATGTCATTTAACATTATGAGATGCAGTCATGTCTACTTATTTTTTATTTGCCAAATATCTATTCTTCTTTATGGAGGAATAGCATATTTTTTTCATTGCTGAATATTTAATAAGCATCTTAGCAATAAATTACTTTTCTAGATACTTTTTTTTTTTTTTTGAGACAGATTTTCATGGGTCATTCATTTTGTCAGGGGGAACATCTTGTCAACCTGCTGGCTCAGTTTATGAGAATGCTGGGATTATAAGAAGGAACCACCATGTTCAGCATATCCCACATTCCCTTTAGACTGTTCTAAGAGGTTAGGTATCATGATTTAGAGAAATTAGCTATTATTAATACTGACACATATGCTATTCTGAGCATGAGTATGCATGTATCACAAAGATAGAGCAATTTTAAATCCTTTCAAAATATACTTTAGCTAATTTTTTTTTTTTTTTTTTTGGTTTTTCTTCGGTACCGGGAACTGAACTCACCACCTTGCACTTGCCAGGCAGGCGCTTTTGCCGCTGAGCTAAACTCCCAGCCCCTCAAAATATACTTTAGGAAGTTTACGTAAATGAAATACAAATGTCTATTTTTACTATTTAAAACATCTCTATGTTATGAAATTGGTTCTAATTTATATTCCTACCAGCAATATATGAGGGTGCCTCCTAAGAATTTTAAATTCCAATTCTCTGGAGTATGTTTTCTATTTATGGAGAGGTTGTTTTTTCTTTCTCTCTTTTTTTTTTTTTTGTCTTCTTGAGACAGGGTCTCACTATGCAGTTCAGGCTGGCCTTGAGCTCACTTTGTAGCTCAGGCTGGTCTTGAACTCGCAACGATCCTCCTGCCTCAGCCTCCCGAGTGCTGGACTTACAGGCATGCACCACCACGCCCAGCACGAGGTCATTTTTTCAAAACATCTATTTTTACATCACTAAGATTCAGCTGCATTTTGAGTATTGCTTCCAGGTTAGCAATTTTTAGATACTGTATGTCATATACATAGATAGGTAGAGAGGTAGATAGAGAGATAGAGAGATAGATAGATAGATAGATAGATAGATAGATAGATAGATAGATACATGATGGATAGATAGATATATATAGATATCTTCAAGATGAGTTCCTGTCAAAGTACAAAATTTACTCTTTTCATATATGCCTACACAAAATTCAAAAATGAATTTTCACATGTTTTCATGATGTTGGTCACAAAAGAATTTTTTATACTGATATAGGAGATAGTGGCTCTTGTTGCATAATACCACTACTAACTTAGTTTCTTGGATTGGAATATTTCTGTATTTAATGATCTAATATAGAAAATCAATCTGTATATATAACTGAAGAATTTTTGTGAGATTAGATAAATTTAACCATGGCTTCATTTGTAGAGTTTCTTTGCTTGTGGTATTTCTGCTCACATGCCAACTCAAGGGATATTAGTTTTACTTATAAATGCAAATTACCTTAGATTTATTGAGGAATTTTTGTATTCTTCTTCAATTGGCTGGTTTTCCCAGGTTGTTCCTAAATTATAACCATAGAAATATAAAAAGTCACTATATCATTCTATAGAAATTAGCAGATAGTAGTTTGATTCATGGTATAATGTAAATAGGCCTGAGGGGCTGGGGATTTAGCTCAGCGGCAAAGCGCCTGCCTGGCAAGTGCAAGGTCGTGAGTTCGGTTCCCGGTACCGGAGAAAAGCCAAAAACAAACAAAATTAAAAAAAAAATGTAAATAGGCCTGAGACACTTCTCAAAATGTTTCCACATTCTATTTAATGAATCACTATCAATGAGCAAGAACCAATGCTGTCTCATTATATACATGAGACTATGGCACTCTTACCTATAGCGGTCATATTCATAAGTGTTTCCCACATCACATCTCTGTAGAGCTTCTTTTGAGAAGGATTCAGCACAGCCCACTCCTCCATGGTGAAGTTCACAGCTACATCCTCCAAGGTCACTGCCTCCTAAATAATCACATATACATTTTCTGAAAGAAGCTTGAGACTCACATCCTGAGATAGGTGAACTCCTCCTGTAAAAGCTGAATTCAAGCCAGTTTCTTCAAATATTAACTTCGTGCCTTGGTCACCAAGTATATGCACATATTTTCACACCGCAATTCTGATGCTAGAATTTAACTCATTCCTATAGTAACAGCAGAATAGTAGAACTGATTGCCCAGCAGGGTCACAGAAATTTTGTGTGTGATTAATCCAAAGTTTGACCAGAGTGGTGCAGCTATTTATAATTAAAAAAAAAAAAAAATCAAACCAACACAAAGGAAAATAACAGGAGACCATTTTTTAGTTTTTCAAACAGTATTATACTGTTCTCCTAATTTGGCTGCTCGGGAAAATCTGATTACTACAGCAAAACAAGAAACAATCTGGTGAGTGTCATGTTCTACAGAGGTTTATATGAAGAGTTGAACAAATGAGTCTGCACATTCTACTTCTGTTAGAAAGAGACAACATCTGCATTACCCAAAGGTAACTGAAGATAAAATGTATTGAAAAGGCACAGAATCTACTAGATTATCCAAAGGCCAAGGCTAAGCCTTGGGTCCTTTTAACATGCTCAATACACATACCTTGATATGTATTTGGGGAAATTTATGTAATACAAAGTCAAATTCATAATAATACACTAAATACCTCATGTACTCTTTGAGCACCTTATATTGTAAAACACTGGTTGTTTACCCATGGTATACTGTTTTTAACAGACCAGAGTTGTTACTGCTATCCACCACTGATACAGGAAAATAGAAACTCCCAATCTGAACTACAGTATCTGGGACAAGTTTGTGTTCTGTAAAACTGAAGAATGAATTCTAGGAACAAAGGAAGTTAAGAGTGGAATATATTTATTGAGGGAAAGAAAGCTTCTGTCCAAGAGAGGGACAGAAGGGGGCCCGAGTGGGTTGCCCCAAGACTCTGTCTTTCCTAGGGACTTTTATAGAGCAAAACCACAGGTGAAGCAGGTCCAAGGTAGAGGAAAAATGGGAAATTACAAGGTGGGCATGAGGTGGGACAAAACTATGGTCAGCCAATAAGATTACAAGTATAATTGTTCAGATAAAATTGACTAAATTGGGATCAAATGGGGAAAGGAGTCACAGTAGCAAGCAGATAAAAATACAGAACAGGGGCTTTTCCCGTAGGGGGTTGGGCTAGTGACTCTTCCTGGCTTTTTCAAGGTAGTTGCTACCTGTTTAGCATATCAATCCCTGAGGTCCATCCCTAGGGAGGTATGTGGGTGCATTTGTTTAGTCTTTTGTCTTGAGGTCTGGCCCCAGCAAATACATGTCCATTTGCAAGGTATCTTGTCTTTCATGTTGGATCCTTGCAGGGCCTGGCCCTGTCTAACTGCCTATAGTATTTCTAACTCAGCTACCTGCAACACCACCATGAGGAAGTATTGTATCAGGCACCACCACTTGTGTGAAAAATGAGTAAGTTTCAAAATTAACAGTGAGTTTTGCACTAAACTTTTATTTTTCTCTTTATTACAGAAAACTTAACTTAGGCCCTCATGCCTATTAGACAAGTTAGTTTAGAGTGGAGGTACAACCTGAAATATTTACTGCTATTGAAAAAAAGCCTTGCTCAGTTAGCCAAGTGAGGGCTGGTGATATAATACTCCTGTCAAACCTGCCCAAGTAGCTGGCATCAGTGGTGTGTACCATGCCTCCATGATGTTTATTTACCACAAGCACTGAAATCTTGGTAAATCATGGTGACTGAAGAACCCAAATTTTAAACAAGCAAGGTGGCATATGTTTGTGTTCCCAACAGTCGAGGAGGTAGAGACTATCAAAATTTTTCTGCAGCTTGGGCAACTTAGTAAGATCTGGTCTCAAAAAATTTTTAAAAAGGGGGGGCTGGGGATTTAGCTCAGCGGCACAGCACCTGCCTGGCAGACACAAGGTAGTGAGTTCTATTCCTGGTACCTGGAAAACAAAACACACACCAAAAAAATTCTTCCAAAAAAAAAAAAGAAAAAGAAAACATTTGGGAGGATGTAGCTTGGGGCAAAATTCCTGAGTTCCATCCCAGTACAATGAAAAAAATCAAACACATCCCGAAATCATTTGTATCCATGAGAAATCCCCTCCCATTCTACATCAGTGGTGATGTCCTCCCTATTTTTTTCTCCCACCCTCCCCCACTGTTCACCCTATTTTTAGACCTACAACACCAGTTTTCTATTTTTTTTGTTTTGTTTGGCTTTTTTTCTGGTACCGGGTCGAACTCACGGCCTTACTCTTACCAGGCAGGCGCTGTGCCCCTGAGCTAAATCCCCAGCCCCTAACACCAGTTTTCTAATTTTTAATTCTGCCTCAAAAATGATTAGATGAGCCCATCAGTACCCACAGAAGATACATTTATCTATTATTAAGTTCTCCTTTCTTTAAGCTTGTCACCTTAGACCCAATCTCAGACCAAGTCAGCACATCATTCCTTTATTGTCACACTAAGCACTGTCTGACTTCTTGAAATCTTTACTGTCCTATTTCCTAATTTTTACCATCCTCCAAAATCCCTTGCTCTCTTATTTCCCTTTTACAACCCTTTCTTGTTGCCTGTTCTGAAAACCCTTTTATTTATTCGGATGCCTGCAGACCTTAACTGTGGGAACTTAACCCTATTTCAGTTCTTGTTTTACATAAACATGTCATTCAGTGTTTCAATTTTTAAAACAATGTCTAGAAACTGTCCATAGACTACAAGGCAATTATGTAAGAGATGTTGTCCCTTAAGAGATGATGTCCCTTTCCAATTGTACCAGTAGCACAAATACACATCCCTGTCGAAGCCTCAGTTCAATGCCTATCTCAGTGAGGGTTTAACAGACAGCCCCTTCAGAAAGTTCTCATTAACAGGAACACCTTCTCCTCCCTTGGTAATATGTTACCATCCCCTCCATATTTCTCAATCTAAGTTCTAGGGAAAGCCTCAATTTCATAGTCTATATGTAAAGAATACTTTATTTAGTTAGCTTATGCATAAAGCAACTAACTAAAGAAGAGCCTGACAAAGAGTTAGGAAATTAGCCTATTGCCTAAGAATTAAAATGACAATAGCCAACTACCTAGAAATTTGACCCAAGAGTGAACTTGCTGCCGAAGGAATGCAGCCACCTCTCTACTAAAAGGAGTGGCAGCCACTCTCTACTAAGTGTCTGAGCTGCCAGAAATTTAAAACAAAATCCAGTGTTTCTCTGGGGTTGGGAAGTTAGCTCAGCGGCAAAGCGCCTGTCTGGCAAGCGCAAGGTCGTGAGTTCGGTTCCCGGTACCGGAGAAAAACAAAAAAAAACAAAACAACAAAAAAAAATCCAGTGTTTCTCTAAACACCCAGTTTTAACAGTGCATTCTGAGAAAATGGGTTGGAGAGCCTGAGTTCAAAGTGGTTCTTCTAAATCTGTAGAGCCTTCTGTGATAGGTGCCCACTAAATAACTAAGCATTTATTGTGCTCTCTTTATCTACAATTAACTCTAGATTGACTGGCCACAGGGACATTCACTCCAGACACTTCGGAAATCAGTCAGCTATTATTCTTATTTCCAGTAACATCTCTCCTAGGCAGCCTTCTTTTTTTGTTTTGTTTTTTGGGTATTTTTTTTGGTACCAGGAATCGAACTCAGGACCTTGCACTTGCCAGGCATGTGCTTGTGCCGCTGAGCTATATCCCCGGTCCCTAACATCCGTCTTATGGTTTGTAACTTCATTTCTCATTGTTATGGGACCACCAGGTATTTTCGTGCAGTGACACAATTGCAAACAGAGATCTCAGGTAAAAAATTAAAGTGATGATTTTTTAAATGCTGTGTATGGAACCGGGGTTTCCCCTAAAGCCCCTGCTCTCTTCAGACTGCTGTAGATACATTTGTGGCAGGGGCTGACCAAGAAGGTGTTCTGGGCTGGCAGTGTCCGAGTTGGGACTGTATGCTGGGAGCGCAGCACTGTCCCTGCGTAAGCAATGGGAAAAAATGCTTCAAAGGATGATGTAGAATCAAAGATTAAGATGACCTTAGTGTCTGGAGCTAAGCAGGGTGGCTGTAGATTGCCATAGCTGTTTCCAACCGCTTCCATCCAGAAAGTACCAGATTCCATCCCATCCCAAGCCCCTGTCCAACAAAGTTACCATTGCGTGGGTTGATGGTCTCCTAGGATCCTTGGAACGCAGCTCACGCCCAGTGGAAATTACAGAAAACGGTGGTCCCGTCAGGGAGGGTGGTCAGCAACACACTCAAAAGTCTGCACTGTGGCGCTATCCCACCAGGAGAGCCCTCCTCCCTCAGCGAGCCTGATTGGGTAGTTCAGAGAGCCCGCCTTCATTGCTGATTGGCTCCTGTTCCTTTGCCACTTAGCTCAACTAAGCCATCAAGACAAACAAACCTCTGCCATCAGGGGTTGGGTTGAGCTCAAATGACAGCTTGTAACCCAGGAAGTTCTGGACCAGTCTCTCCCCCGTGTATCAATCTCACCTCGCCTGAGGAATACTCTCTATGGGCTGCACTCCTGGGTTTTCTTTTTTTTTTTTAATTTTTTTTTTTTGTTTGTTTTATTCCGGTATCAGGAATCGAACTCACGACCTTGCGCTTACCAGGAAGGCGCTGTGCCGCTGAGCTAAATCCCCAGCCCCTCTCCTGGGTTTTCAAAGCTCCTATGGTTTCCTTAATGGACTCAGTAGACTCTTCCTGAAAAATGGGTGACAAATGTGCTCACAAGGTTCCAGGGTCAGTGTCCTATGGAAAACTCACTCCCCTGATGTCACAAAACATCATAAGTCCAGGCCAGGCCAGAATAGATTAGAATACAGTGAGGGCCTGCTGTTGGGAATGAGGCAGTGGGTTCATTGCTACGATTTTCACACCGTCTCTCATTCTACCCATTTTCTTTCATGAACATGTATATATGGC